TGTCTTTCGTAATTTTGTGCCCGATATCGTTGTACGTTTGTACCCTGTAAGCTTCAAACTTTAGATATACAAACAATGTGTGTTCTAGAGTATCCACCTCTTCTGCACATAACCTACAACATGCATCCTTTTTATTCTTTGCAGGTATGAGCCACAGACCCCATGACCAGTCATAACCTATGATGTATAAAATTTCATATCACCCCATTTTCTTTCCAACCATTTTCTAATGTCTTTGACGGAAGTCTTAACCCACCCTTGGTATTCAGTCCATCTTGTTGGCGACTGTGCATAAGTCATCTGCTTAGCCTTCCCAGCATAATATTTTCCTCTTTGATAAATGAGGTCTCTCTTCACCAGCAGTTCTATTGGAGCTATTCCTGCAAGAGCTGTAACTGGTTCTCTTGAAGCGTTTCTGTAGATCGATATAATGCTTATTGCCATTCTACGGTTAAGTCGTTCAAATAAATCCCGATAGTATTTAAACTTCAATCCCCGATTTCAAAGCGGTGAATAATATATTTCAATAAAAAGAAAATACAGCTGTTGTTTGTACCCTTCGCTTTACTGCTCTGGGACCTCCGATATTTGGCATGAGTCTATTTAACTTATTGATGGCCGTATATTTGCCTTTTCACAGATTCTTTTAATATGTGATGTCATCTATTCCTAAATACTTAATTCTTGTTGACTCTAACATGATGCTCGTCAATCTTTATCAGTATTGTAAGTACCTTTATTGTGCCAGATAGTAATACCAATTAATTTTTTTTATCCCTACTTGCATCTCCATTTCTGTCAGTTTCCACTTTATCAATTTCATACTTATAATAATAATAGCTCCCGTATATGTATAGCGTTTGACGCCTTAGGTACAGCTTGCCATACTAGAGCCGTTCGGTATATAAAGAAAGGTAATGTGGCTATTACGCTTCAACCGCCTATTCCGCCTATTATTACCTCAGGATTGTGAATCCCAAGTACTAACAATTTAAACGGCTGAGTCGACACAAAATTTTAAACTATTTTTATTTTAATAAAAATAGTCGTCTGATACAATGCCGGGTGTGGGATTCAAACCCATTACCTTGATATTGATGGGCTTTGTACCTTTACGCCACCAGGCACCTTGGGCACCGAGCACCGAGCACCTTCGGAACCTCATAACAGTTGAGTTTTATCTATCAGCTCTGTTTTAGATTTTGCCGTAGTTACAATCGCTAGGTCATCTGCGTATGCAATTAGGGATATTCATCTTTCCGTTTCAGTTTCTAATATTTTATTATAGAAGATATTCCAGAGTACTGGTGTAGTCAGAACTAGGTTATAGACTGTATGATAGAGTTACGCTAACTAAAGAAAGGGGAACATAATGATCTTTAAGGTTTGTTAAGTAGTGTGTATATTGTTTATTAATATTTTTTTTTTTTTTTTGAAAAAATTGGAATAAATAACAAACTATTAAATCTAATAAGAACAAAACGAAGCCTGAAAGCAACGCGCTTTTATTGACAACCAACTTAACCTCTCTCACTATTAACCTTCGACTATCACAATAACTAGACCCAGTTATATCAATATAACTAATTGAGCTCAGACACCGATATTAGTTTCCATCTATCTCCTTTATAAAAGAGAGTTTGCCTACCATATATATCCAATATTTAGTTGGGGTATTGCGATAAATTTGTATATTATATTTACTAAGCAATATGATTAAGCGACCTTAAGTGAGATGACGAGGAGAATAAATTTTTCACGGCCTTTACTAGATTTTTAACGATTATAACCACCATAGTTAATAATAACGACGACCAAAAAGTAAAACTATTAAAAAATAAAACACAAATTTAATGAAAATATTTGTTTTTTATTAAAAACTGTATAAATGTATTTAATGCAAAACCAATCTATGTACAATAAAGGCACTTTCATCTATAATAATGGCACAGGTTTAGTGCAGAATATAAAATTATTAACAAAATTACAAAAAAAACATACAGATTGCTGTCGTTTGCGCGGGATTTGAAATATTTCAAGAAGTAAATTCGAGTCAAAACAATTCTAAGTTGATTTCAGTTAATTAAACACAATATGAATGAATGAGATTAAGAATGATGATACCCTAACGAATTACATCCAAATTAATATTAAAAACCGTCTCATTTCTTCGTCACAGTAAAATTAAAACCATAAAAATCGTTTACAGATTTAAAAACATAAAAGTATCAAGTAAATACATATATAATATATCACAGATAAGAGTTTTGGGCAAGATATATCTAGGATTGGTCCCCTATCTTACGGAATGTATAGGACCGGCCCAATTTAAATATCCTTTATTCTATCCAGCTGTGTTGAAATCTTTTACTCCCTTAATATTACATTATTATATAGAGCCAAAATACCATCGAGAAATAAAGGCCTGAAAGCTTACGAATAACGTCACGAAAATGGTGATGAAGAAAGGGAGCTGTTTTCTAATGATTTTAACTTTTAATTAAAGAAATTTAGATTTTCAATGAAGTAAAAAGCTGATATAGCCAAATAGTTCTGAAGCTATCTGGCCATGAATCTCGCCAGGTATTGGTAGAATATTTTCGGTTAGTCAAAAAGATTAAATAAAGTGGATCGCAACTATAAGCATATATACTTTGTAATAAACAAAATCCAGTGAAAATATTTGATACAAAAAAAAATAACTACACAAATATTTCTTCAAAAAGTTCTACGTGTATTTCGCCGCTGTTAGAAAATCGCTTCTCTGATTTTAAAAGAACACAACATAAATAAACATAAGTAAAAATTAAAAACAAATTAAAAAATAATCATACAGAAAGTCTGAAGCTTTTTGGGTTGTATCTTGATATAGTGTCATTTAAAAAAAGACGTCAAAGTTTTTATAGACGTATTTTTGTTTGTTTATTAGTAAACCACTGCTGACAATTAGTATCCGTTGAATTAACGCCGCAGTGTTAACAAAAATATAACTATTTTATAGTTACTAAGTTTTTCTTGCAGTGACGAAATACCCATAGGACTTTTTTAAAAATGTTTTTGTTTTTATCTTTGTTGTTACATTTTTATACAAACATTGTTTTCAGATCATTACAGGTACTTTATGGTAATTGTGTCTTTTCTTTAAAAAGCAAACAAAAACTAAAATAAATGAGATAAAGGCAGCAATAAACATCAAAATATTCGAAACATAATTATTATAAATGCTAAAATTCCTGTTGTATATCTTTAAATATAATAGTACTGCATAAGGTAATCAGGTAGTCGAATGAAAACGACATCTTGTAGGTGTATAAATAACATTCCAGTTCAAAGTTACCTATGACGGATATATAAAGCTCCAAGTAAAGATCATGACAGTCGTGTGTGAAATAAAATATTCGAAGTAATTGTCAAAAGTTTAGAGACCAATACAACAAAGTATAATTAATTTATAAATATTAATTTTGTTATATTTCACCGCTAGTTTCGTAGCTAAATAAATACTTCAAATAGCTGTCATGTATCCATCAGAAACATATATACTATGGGCTGGCAAAGGTCTTGGTTCGAGATTTCCGTATGTAAGAAGAGTGCACATTGCTAAGAGGATGGTGATATAGCAGATTTGTCGTAGTCGAGCGGTCGAGCTAATCAGTACCTCTGTCACTGAGATTCCAGGGAGGAATTGTACATCATGTTTCGTTCAGCTTCACGATTTAATTACGTCTCGTGATACTTTGTTTATTTATTAATATTTTAGATTATTTTCAAAATTCTAGATTGGTAAATTTTAATTAAAGTTAAAAAAAAAAAAAAAACATTTTTGGTAAAAATAAGTAGGAATTGAGTTGGTGTTAGACAGTGGTCGTGCTATTAGAACTCTAGATTCAAAATGGAAGCTCTCGAAATCTACTAGAAATAATTGATGGTAGTTTTCAAAACATTTCTTAATATTTCTGTTATATTTTCTTCGCAGACGGTAGGTGAAAATCTTTATAAATAAAAAAAAATTATTTTTATGATTATTATTTTTATGCTCTAAAAGTAAAATGGATGGGTTGTTTAAAATTTTTGAATGGAAAAAAAACAACCATATGGAGTTTTCCTAAATAAAAAAAAAAAGAAGTTTCTAAAGTGGTTTTTAAGTTATGGCATGTTATAAGTTTTCAAATTATTATTATTGCGGCGTTTCTGTAAATGGACACTAACGTTCACCAATTCCGGCTGGGTCTCAAGAAACATATTTGCTTTAATTTTATCTAGTTATCTTTTCGAAAAAAAAGTCTTGAAATAAGCGGTTTGCGATCATTGATTTTACTTTACTTGATAGGGAAGGCGTACCGACAACGCCGACTTAATTTGATCTAATGCGATTCTTCCACTCGTAATAATACCGACCCAAAAGTGTAATAGTTGCCAGCACGGTATAGCAAAGCTAGAACTAAAATGTATCTGCGTCTACTGCGCCAGTCAAAAAACTTTCTTTACTAGCGAAATTCTCATATTCCAAAATGTTAATATATTATAAACAATACGTTGTATATATGTTTGTAGTAAAGCCAGGCTTAATATTATACAGAAAAAGTTTAAATCTTTTGAACCCATGTCCAGACAGCTAAGCCCTTTTAAACAGACATTTGTTATAAAAGACCAAAGAGAATAATATGTACATTAAAAAACGCCACGTGTAAAAATGGCTTTCAGTTATTGTCATCTGTGACAGTACTGGGAAGCCAGCGTCCTAAAATCTAGTTAAGTAGCTTAATTTTAAATGGATTCTCCTTATCGAATATGCAGGCACTATAATATTTATTACGTCGTTTCGAGACATGGTCGAAACAATTTTAAAAATGCCTTCGTTTTACACAGCCTTTTTACCACGTCGGGAAGTACAAAAGGCCATAGGTTTGTACATTACTCAAAAATATCAGTCCAGGGCTGTATAAAAACACCCGCAGTTCTGCCTTAACACTAAATAACAGCATCGTCTCTAAAACACTTCAAACTATAGCGCCATCTTTACATTTTTGTAAGGGTTGCAACTCCCTCCTAAGCCTGTCTACGTCGTTGTAACACTCGTGATCACTCTCCTCCTCACTGGCTTTGTGAGGAGGCAAGTACACGGCCTTGACTACGTCACTGACAGATGATGGTGATGGAGGCACGACAAAATCAGAAACATCAGGAAGACCTACAGTCTGTTCGATCGGTGATTCGTTGCCCATAAGGTATTCCGGATTGTCGATGTTGTTTTTGAATAAATCGGTGTAAAGATTCGCGTTGCTAGCGTGGTCGGTGGTATTCTTCAAGTCGAGGTAAGTCGAAGTCGTTTGGGTGTGCTGAGGCGAAGGCATAAGGTAGTCGTCTTCGTCTACTGGGAGTTCGAGTTTGAGGTTTCCTATTTGGGCCTGTTGGGATTTTCCGCTAGAGTCGTATTCGTCCGAACCCATGTCAGATTCTCGAAGCTTTAAAGAGTCTCCGCAGTATTTTATGGAAGAGATGTCTGACTGGGTGCCTTGGAGTGAAGGATGGAAGTGACACGGCATTCCTGAGAATGTTCTGAAATTAAAATAACAATTAATACTGAATACTTACGGAATCCCTACACTTTGTGTTGTTCATTGAAAATGAACCGCTTATTATAGTCTGTCAAGCAAAGGATACATTTACAGTGACGATGCCCAGTAGCATTTTTAGACACAAAAGCGAAACAAAATCTCTGCTGAGAATAATATTGCGAAACAGTTTCGTCACATTTTTTGATACTATATATGTTCGTAACATAAATCGGTTATTGTTTCGAAACATTTTACCAAAATATGGTTTCGCCACGTATATGCAATAGTACGAGAGCTAGCAACGTCGGAAAAACAAGTATTTTAAGACGTCTGGCTCTTTGATATATCTTTTACTATGCTCTCTAGAACAGCATGCGGCCCGTCCGGCTGCCGGTAAACGTTGCATTCCCTACTGCGTATTGAAAGAAGATCCTATATTTTTATTAGTTCTTTAAATTCTAGTATTGAATACAAATCGAACATGTTTCCATAGCGCAGTGCGTAAAATTTCCGACCACAAACCGATGATTCAGAGTTCGAATCCGGGTCAGGATAAAGACTTTTTTATTTTATTTTCGTTTATATTCTGGTAGTAAAGTATTAAATATTTGTTTTTTTTTAATCACCAGATTTATTATATACCAGAACAAGACAGGAAAAACATTGGACAATAAAATCTATTTTTCCAAGTATCCTTAAATAAAAATTACTGTATTTAACAACATCCATATTTTTAAAAACAGATGTGGCTCACATTTACACATTTAGTCCCCGTTTTGTACCTGAAAAGTTTCCATAATTTATTTGATATTCTGTCTATATGAGAACATATCCTGACATTGTTTGGATTTTGTTCTGCATTTTTTGCATTTAAGGACTCTTCAAGTATTTATAGTACTATAATTAAAAAAGTAGAAGGAAGGGCATATGGTGAGTACAAATACAGATATTTTTCTTATGCGATTTTATAATAATTTATTATACGCATTATAGAGATGATTTGTTTTTGGAATAAATGTAATAACAGCCACTACCCATACCCAACAGAAGACTGAAGAAAAATTTTACCAGCAAACGTTTTTTTCTTCTCTTTTTTCCACAATGGAATACATGTTTTTATGTTTTAATTGTGTAATAATAAGTAAATGAAAACGTTCTAATTATATTGACCAGAAGTTTTGATTGACGTTGATGACAGGTGACTAGTTCGAAATTTCTACACAGATAGCGCTAAATCGAAACATCTTGGAAACAAGGTTTCAATTTATTGTCGATTTATTTTCGAAACACGAGTTTCTCTCTTTTTAGATACAAATGTGATATAATGTAGATGATTTGTGTGAGACTCCATGTCAATTTTATAAAATAATGTTGGTTAGTGATAGCGTGTTTATTACAGTTGAGGGTGGGAACCTTTGGTGTCACACAGCAAAATAAAAACACTAAATCACCACAATACACCAAAACACTTTTACTTTTACACTGGACGCGCGTTTCGCTAACCACGTTAGCATCATCAGCAGATGATTATAAACTGCGTTTTTAACTAAAAATATTTGTTTTTTTTTTCGGCTGTTACTGTTTTGTAGCAACAAATAATGATGTATAGAAGGGGCATTAAAAATATGAAAGATTATTTTTAAATTAAATGATGAATTTGCTTTTGCCAGACATTTTTTTGTGCGAGAAAAAATGATGGCAGAGGTCGCCATTGTTGATGGTTATTTTCATTTTGAAATCCACACACAGACATAGACTCTTTTAGTTTGGTATTTTGTTTCTTCACATTTACAAATAGTGGCTGCTGAAAACGGAAACGTTACTTGGGACATAAATTGCAGAAAATGTTTGGAAACATTTCCTCTAAAAGTTTTTATTTCGCATCGAAACACTTCAGCAAACGGCTAGTGCCACCACATTGGAAACACATGTAATATAGCCATATAAAATATATAGGTTTCGAAAATGTTTCCTATTTGTGGCATACCGTTTCCATTTTGTATCAAGAAACTGACACGATCATTAGAAACATTACCTAAAATGTGTCCAAAAATGCTACTTGGGTGGTGTCTGTCATTCAATAAAAAAATAGCTTAGTTTGTTCTATGTTCTTTCTGTGTGAGTCCAGCCTTGGCTTTTTTATATTTTAAAAATTTGTGGCTCAGGAAAAGAGTCCGCCAAGAAAAAAGCATATCCCAAATTTCAAAATTATGTAAAAGGATAAAGACTACGTGATTTAAAGATAACAAAATCTTTAAAAAAGTTTCATATATACTAACCTCAAAAGTTTATGATTGAACTGGTTTTGAGAAGAGGGATATATCGAACTTCCATCAGGTGTAGGAGGTGCTGTGGCTCTATACCGATCAGGGGTTGGTGATATCGACGTCATACCCGAAAGTGACGTCATTCCCGTCGAATGCAGTGGCATGCGCGACTTGGGTTGGTGCATATAGTCGTCCATTTCAGAACTTTCCGTGTTTTCTGATGCAAGAGACAAGACTATATCTCTGTCGCTCTGTAGAAGATAATAAAACAAATAATTAACAAAATGTAAAACTTTAATGTGTTTAAAAGAACTTACCATAGGAGTACTTAGTCCTCCTTGGAACCGAAGGAACTTGTCACCAGGGATAATAAGGTACCTGCCAGGATCAAGAGCCATCTTTGAAAATTCGTCTTCTAATTCCTTGAAGCATGGTCTGGTTTCGGCGTCTAACATCCAGCACTTGATCATGACCATATAGACTTCAATGGTAGCTATGTGAGGTTGGGGAAGTCTTTCACCTTAAAGAATATTGATCAGCATTAAATATGTTTCAATAACATTTAGCTTATTCTATTTTAGAAATATTGTTAACTTAAATCAGGTGCAAAGATATATAGAGTGTTAATACCAAAGACATCTAAATAAAGGGAGACAAAACAATTTACATTTTATCGCGATCACGAACCGTGTTCCGCAAAATTCGATGATGACAGATTTACGCGGTATGTGATAGAATACGGTTCGAGTTCCAAATGGTATATTGTTATTAATGTTTTTTGGGTACCTATAACACTAAATACCGTATGATCGAAAAAAATGGCGTCCAGTTGGCTTGGAAATGACGATCGATGACATTTCCCATATAATTTTACATATAAAATGACAGCGATCTTCATTTCATAGCCATCGCTGAAGCCATTTTTATTCGATCATACGGTATATCAACTAAATATTTGTATAGGTATATAACTTTAATTAATATACATAGATTGTGCCAGGATCATACCTTTGAAATTATTTTTAGTTTTCTAATTAAATTATATTAGGGAAATTACAATGACAACTAGCGGCATCACTGTGGATTCATCTTTACTACGAAATTGTGCGAAATTTTTAGGTATTACGCTGACATTTGACGTTTTCATTCAACTTATATTTGACAGCGCGCGGTTGTGAGTTTTCTGCGGTAGTTGAAAGTTTTTGTAGCTTTTGAACAACTTTCTAATAATTATCAGTGTTTATTGCAAAAAAAACTGTTTAAAATAGTTTTTATCTATCTACGATGGTTCGCGAGTGCATGGTTTGTAAAAAGGTGGATCATTCTAACCCGGAATTGATATTTCGACGGTAAGGCGCGGTGTTTTCAGTTGTAAATAAATAGCTTTTATCTAACAAATAACCATCTAAAAGATAAACAATCTAGAGCCTGCTATCTATAGGATATAACATTTGGGTATTTTCATACAAAATAATCCAAAAGATAACACTTTGAAGGACGGGCCGCATTCGGACCGTTAGATACTCCATAGAGAAAGTGCTGCCAATATAAGATATCTGAAATTGAGATAGTTATATATGAAAACTCTATGCAACAGACAGAAACAAACACTCGGAATTTCAAATCGGTAGATTTAAAAGTGAGGTTATTATTCAGTTGTCAAAAGATCGTCAAAATGAAAATAAAACAATAAATTTCAACTAAAATATATTTTGTGTAGTGATGGGAATAATCGAATTATTTTCACCATCGAATAATTAGTAATAATTCATATTTCACAATCGAATGAATAATTCGAATTATTTAGTAGTATTATAAATTTAACCTAAACATAAATTCGTCCCAGCTAGTGCTCGTCTAGGGGTTATTTTAAACAAATTCTGAACCATTGCCATACCTATATTCTATCACTGAATAAAAAAAATATTCTTTATTCAATGTATTCTATTAACTGTGCCGAAGCCGTTTAATAAATTAAACCATAATTTAAAGTTTTAAATTTAAAAGTGCCGAGTATCGTATTTTTTCGTATTTCTTTTTATTTTATCAGTTGCAATCAATAATTATTTAGATAAAAGAAGAAAATTAATTTTAGTGTGTCGGCAGGTGTTCGGTGAAATTTGGGTGAGATGGAAATGAACCAAATAATAGTAGTATTCTTTTCGTTCTGAACGAAATGAAAATTTTCACTTAAACTGATTTATTCCTACGTGGTATAGGAAATAACAATGATTTCTGGATTTTCTATATCGGATCGTTCCTTTCTTTGTCGATTCCCTTTATAAATCAGTTTAAGTGAAAATTTTCAGTTCGTTCAGAACGAAAGAATACTACTATAGTACTATACTAATTACTAATATTCGTATTCGTCCATAAGAGGTTATGTTTTATGTTGATTTGTAATTCGGTTAACCACAGATATAATATAAAATACTACTAATTTTTATCTCGATTATATCGAAAAAAATAATTCGAATTAGTTAGTTTTAATTTACTATCGAATTAGTCGTATTATTTAATTCGAATTTTCCCAACACTAATTTTGTGTTCAACTCTGATCAGTTTTATTATGGTAAAGGCTAATTAATTTTACCTTTATGGAAAAAGGGAATCAGTTTCAACAGTTGTGAAATAGATCTATTGATGGAATGCGATTTATAAGAAATTAAAACAAGAAAAAAAGTATGTGTAAGTAATTTATAATTTAATTATATGATATTACTTATTTTACTTATATTATACTTAATACTTATATTATTATTTTTATTATATTAACATTTTAGTACAATTGATAATAGAAAATATGGAAGAAACTGGTGAAGTGCAAGCAGAGATTTATAGATAAATCCTAAAACCACAATCTGGTAAAAAATAGCATATAAGGCTGTTAGTAATAACAAATTAATATGTATTGTTGTAGGTCTTCTCATAATAAAGAAATATGTAGGATAGCATCGCTGAGAGTAATTAAGGTGAGTTTTTATTTTATAAAATAGATAAATGTACTTATATTATTTTTCTTTAGAAAAGCACGATTGAGAATAAGTATATTACAACCTCAAAGACCTATTGGTATATGATTTTAGATACTTTTTTCTTAATTAATAATAATAAATTTAGAGCACCTATAATAATTGTTACATTAACACATTATATGTACAAATTATTTAATAAAAAAAATTAAATATAAAACAATTTTGACATATTACTTTTATTTTTAAGAACTCAAAGTGATTCTTCAAAGTGGAACTTCAAAAAAACCAGGAAAAAATAAAGGAAAAATCTTGTGTAAACAAAGTTGATATTAATAAACCGTTTAACCGTAAAAAAGTTGAACAAACTGGAATTCAAAGGAGGTGTTTTAAAAAGGTTTAGCTAGAGAGTTACTTAAAAAACAGCATGAAGAAGAGATGCATAAGGTACATAGTGCAAAAAATTAAACTAAAATTGTAACACGAAAGAAATAAAAGCAAATGTGAATTGAATAACAGGTTTTCTAAGGTTCCTGTTATAATATAAATGAATTAAGATAAGCAAATTAAAAATGAAATAAACAGTTTGATTTACAAAGTTTTATTTATTTTTTACTTACTTTAGAGCTTTTTTATGTACGTAATGGTTTTTAATTGAAGGGATTTAAGTAAAATAATTTATAACTTGCCGTTGAGTTATATTTTTACTCGGTAATTATACATATTTCGTCACTATTATCCTGACTTAATGCATTCTCTTCATTCTGATACTCTAACAGAGGCTCTTTTTATTTTGTAACACTCCTTATAAAGTCCTAACAACAATAGTTTTTTGCACAATTTCAATGTGTTTACTGGTGTTTATACCTTATCACGTTCACGTTCTAAAATGGTTATAGTCTACATACTCAGAATAGGTAAGTGTTTTCGAAATAATATATAATCGAATTTATTGAAATAAACGAAATCTACAATAATAGTAACAATGTCTTATTTAGGTTATGTCTGGTTATGTTAAGAAATTTTATTAAAAAAAATCAAAATCTCCTCATGACGCAAATTTTTATCCGACAAATAAACCGCTATTTGGCAGTTCAGATCCCAAATAGGATATCTGACGGATAAGATTATTTTATCTAATAGATATTGCTATCTATAGGTATCTACGTTTTTCAGCTATCCATCAAATAAAATATATCTGGCGGATTATAATGCGCTATCTATACCTAAAAACACCGGGGGTAAGTGTCATTACGTTTTTTACCTTTAGCCATGTTAACGGTAGTATTTAGATACTTTTTAGTTATAAGTGGGAATACAGCACAGCCTACAAAAGGCACATTATATTTCCTTATTCGTTGGCGCTTTCGATTGTTAAATTAGAGTTACCCTCAGGCAAAACTAGTTATAGTAATGGAAAATTGGTCTGAGGCAGTCCCAATCAATTTTTGATAAAATTCAACAATTTTTGATAAAAAAATCACGCCACCGTCGCGCCACTGATAGAGCCAAGTGACAGAAGATGAAGCAAGAAACTCAGTATGTTGTCATGTATTTAGTCCTATGCAACATCTTTTAACTCTCATAAAAGTGTCAAACCATGCATGATTCTAAAAAATTGGGTTTATGAATGGAGTGTTCTGTCAACCCATTTAGATGCCTTTGATTAATACTATATCCTCCAAGATAATAAAAATCATATGATTACAAGTTAACCCAGCTAGTTAAAGCGGTAGTAATGGCCCTTATATCCATTAAGTGCTGTTAATGAGGTGAGTTTTGTTGTTTGTTGATGTAAATAATGTTTAACTGTTTATATATTTTATAATTAAAGAATTCATTTTGTTTCCTAAAAGATTTTGATTCAAATAAAATATGTAAAAGTCAGCAACGCTGTGCCGGTCAAGCAATTACACGTGACTAAAAGTTTATTTGGTGTGATCCTATAGTAACATGATTAATACCTTTTTCTAGTAACTCTGGCACATCTCTAGCTGGTACATTATCATAAGGTCTTCCGCCAAAAGTAAGTAACTCCCAAACAGTAACTCCAAAGGCCCAGACGTCCGATTTGTGTGTGAATATCCTATGTTGTATACATTCCAAAGCCAGCCATTTGATTGGCATTTTACCACCGGCAGCCCTGTATTCTTCCTCGTTGATATCGAGAAGTTTGGCCAATCCAAAATCGGTGATTTTTACACAGCTGGGTTTCTGTACTAGCACGTTTCTTGCTGCTAGGTCACGATGCACCAATCGTTTCTCCTCTAAAATGATAAATAATAATTAATATATTTTATCTACATTAATTCACTTTATAAACACTACAACTAAATATTAGAAATAAATCCAAAAACTCTCAAAATACAAAAAAAACACAAACTTAGAAGAATAAAAGATCTAAATTACAGGCTAAAGATATGCTACCCCTAAGAGAACCTTCATAAAGTAAAATCCATTATTATAATTCAGGGTTGGAACTTTTTTATTACAACAGCAAATAAAGAAACACTAATTTACCATATTACACCAAAGCACTTTTAACACTGACGATAGTGTTTTGGTGTATTATATTATGTAATTAGCAGCAATGTTTTTATTTTACTAAAATTATACACTACTAGTTGAAAATGTATTTTTAGTTTTTATTTTTTTTTGTTAAATATTGTTCTATTATTGAAGGTTTAATAATTGATTTATTTTGAAAGACAATCTCTTTCATCAAAATTGGAATAAGAATTTAAATATTACAATCTTATTCATAATAAACGATTTTTTATAAGTTTAATTTTAAGTAGAGAGGAAGGAATATAATACTATTTTTCTATTCATGCATTAGAAGATAGAACCGACGACATATTTGATAACCGGACATATTTGACCGTTTTGTTTGGCCAGTATCATTTGACGCTTTTGAATTTGATTAGATTAAAAGGAAATAATTAGAATAAAGTCAATTTTTACTTATTATCAATGGAAATATTTTAAGAAATTTTAGTAATTGAAGTAACCTTTGTGGCTCATTGACATAAACATATTAATGACATATCAAAGCTTCAGTTTGTTCTTTGAATAAAGAGAAGACTAAGGAAGGGCATATTCTATCCATGTGTATTCATGCATGGTGGGCGGAGAAGCCACCATAAAAGCTCTCTAGGTTGGGGATCCTTGACAGTTCTGTTTGACGATTCATTTGACACACATTTGAGATTTGATTTGAAATTTTGTGGATTTGTCAGTCTTTAAGGAGCTTATTTTATGTTATTTATTATTTATTCTACTACTTACTGATAGTTGTATAGGGTAGTAAATCTAGATGAAATTGTGGCAGAACTTAAATTAACAGTACTCTCGCGATTTTGCATCGAAAAGACTCTAAAATAGTTGGTTGTGTAGCGTGCGGTGTAGATCTCGGCAAAAATTAGGTGAAATAAATGGAACAACACCGCTAGTAAGTGACTATATAATATACATGCATGTAGTAAACCGATCATTTAAGTGAATTTCATAAAAATTAACTAAATTATATATTTTTCTTGCATTTTAGCTTTACATTTATACTTGTCAAAGATTAGATGTCTAAAGAATTTAGATACGTCAATTTTTTACCTGCTTCAGTAGCGTTTTGGATGTTTGTGTTAATGATACTTATTATAACCCATCTATTTTTTATTAGAATTATATATTTTTATAACAATTTTAATAACTACCAACATTTTATTCACAACGTAAAATAAAACAACAAATTATTATTTTTTTTTTTTTGTAATATTTGTAAATTGAATATTGTACATTTTTAAATAAAAGTAGAACGACTTTTCCAGTAAAACGGAATTTAAGCCAGCCATATTTGAGGCCCATCACTTGGTGTACCCTAAAATTTTGATATGCTCCTTCCTTAGTCTTGCTTATGACTGAGGTTTTGTTGATATACCTAAAGGTTCCCATTCACATACAGTTCGCCAGCAGTTCCAGGACTGTACGATCTGAACTGAAGATCTAAATTTTGTCAGGCCACACACAATGCAGTTACGTCAGACGATGCGATCTTCAGTTTTGAGATCGTCAGTTTTGGGACTGCAGGAAAACTGTGCTTTCACCATACACACAAACATATCGTCAGTTTTAATCCGAATGATCTTTTTTATTAGTCTCTGAAGTAAAATGGTTTTAAATAATAACGCTAGGAAAAAAACCTAGCGGTACTTCTCGTGCATTTTTTAATTGCAAGGGCCAATTATAAAGACCAAAAATTGTTTTGGTTTGGTTGAAAGGTTTGGTTGAAAGGTTGGTGAAAGGTTGGTTTGCTGAAAGGTTGGTTTTTACAACGTGTTACATTGTGTACAGGGTGGGTCAAATTCGACGCTTTTAAATGGAAACACCCTTTTCTATAGAAGATAGACGAAAACTAATATGGTGTCTGGACTTCAATTTTTCATCAAAAACATGATGGGTGAAAACCGCACATCAATATCTATTACCGTTTCAGAGTTACGAGGTGTTTTCAAAGTAACGACAACAAATGGCTGTAACTTTTTACTATCTGGAAAATTTTGTATTTCTATATGAAAACATTTCCAAAGCACCTTTTACGTAGGAATTTAATGGTTTGCAGTATAATTTTTTTTTAAAATTAATAATTTATGAGTTATCAACAGAATAGTGATTTTTATTTGGGACACCCCTCTATATTTTAATTAACTGAAAAGAATTTAGAATTACCTTTCAAAAATATAGCACACTTGATATTTTATTTGCATCCCCTTCGAAATACAGAATTTTTAAAAAGTTGGCCACTTTTAACTAGTAGCCTTTGGACCCCTCATTGATATGCTCTTAATGGAACCGAAACTATATTTTTCCAACAAGACAACGGACGCACACCGCCTCCCTGAACTGAAGTTATCAACCAAATTTTTTGTAGCCAATTTCAAGGAATAATTGAATAGCTAATCAAGATCCCAGCCGTCGAGGTCGTCTGACTTAGTGCCCATGGGTTTAATCCTATGGATATATTTGCGGAAGAATAAAAGGTTCCTTATTCTTCCATATAATCCTAAATAAAGAATTAGAAATACTTAGCAGTTATGAGAGGGTATCTTTCATCCTTACTGAGTTAATGAATTCCCGCGAGAAATGTTCAAAAACTGCCCCGTCTGTCCATAGAAGACCTTGGTCGATATATCGAACATCCTGTGGCAAAATCTCATGTCTTGGTTTGCTATTTATTTTTATTATTTACATTGAATTATAGTTTAAATGTGTTGATGTTGGTTAAATATATTTTAAAATTGTTATAAAATTCTGCATCTCATGGGAAATATTATTTTTCGTTTTTAATGGATGCTCACAGCTAAGATTTTTTTTTTGCATTACAGCCGGTGCCGTTCAAAGCTTACTTATTTAAAGCGGGCAATTTTTGTATACTTTCTATATCTCGAGGGATCGAACAAAATATCAAAGTGGCTAAAGAGAATAATTTTAAATTCTTTCAATAAATAAAATATACAGAGTGTCATATATAAAAAAAATCAAATTTTCTGTTGATAATTCTTAAATTATTAATTTTAAAAATTATATAGCTCATTAAATGAAAACTCCTCACTCTAAAATTTTCCACAATAAGTTAAGACGATTTTCATAAAAGTGCATATTTTATTGAAGCAACTGCTAATCAATATGCAGTTTCACCATATCAAACAAAAATGAGCTCAGACTCAATGAATTTTGTCCTATCTATAGAAAAGAGGTGTTTCAGTAAAGTGTTTCCACCATAATCATATGTGAAATTAAAGAACTAGTGCAATAGATGACCTTAAAAACTACCTCAGAATGGATGATGCATGTTATAACGAACTTTTAAAGATGGTTATGCCCTTAATATCAAAGAAAAAACTTCACCTGAACGTTTTGATTTTTCTCACTTTTTTAGGTTCCTTTTGGAAAGCACTTCACAAGGTTTTACAGAATCAATAGCAGCATTTGTATCAACAAGTTTATAAAATTACAGCAATTTTTCATAAGATTTAGTTTTTTCGTGTATGTTTGAATACCCTCTGCTTTGTATTTTCCACAGACAGGGAAATTTCCTATACAAATCAATAAAATCAGTTAAAAGAAATGTCGTAATAATTAGGTAAATCCCGCTCATATCTTGATAGTACAAAACTTCTAACTTGTCAAAGATGGGAACGTTACGATTAGAACTGTCAATTTTTCGCCATTCACTTCAGTCGACCGTGAGATTTAAAGTAATCCGTAGATTCAGACCTGTCGATACAAGGCGGTCTGTATGTAATAATATAAATTTTAACTTTTTTTTTTTTTTGTATTTTTGACTGAACGACGACAGGTGTAAATGGTTTACATTTTAGTCAATTCGGTCAAAGAGTTAACAGATCTAGCTAGTGTCAGGCCTTCAAAAAGCTTTTTACCTATTATTACGTTTTTGGTTTATGTAATTTTTATTTCAATTTTTACATAAGATGGGGGCCATTGTAACGCACATTTTCAAATATTTTTGTCAACATACAGGGGTGATTCTCAGGGTGATTCAAACCGCTATACATATGCTTAATACAGTTCATGGAGATTGGGACATTTAACTAAAATTTGATTGTCTGATTAGAGCTACCTTTAAAAATAATGGATTTGTAAATGGCTATAATAATATTCATTTATTATGCGACAGAAATCCCAGACTGTAGCACACAGATTTGATACTTTTTAATGATAAATGCCTTCCATTGAGAGACTAAAAGGTAATTTCCTCGTATCAGAGCCATCATAATAATACAAGAAGAAGACCGAAAGTCAAATCTTGTCTTATATTTTCAAAAAAAAAAATAATTTTTCTCATTAATGACCAGTTTTAGGTATGGGAAGTTATTAATAATACAAGATTAAAACAACTATTACAAAATTGCTTTACGGGAAGCTATCGATTGCGAACTAACTAAATCGTTACTAATTACTAATTGTAAAGAGGTTCTTTTAAGATCAAAAGATTAAAAGAACTAAAACCCTAGAATTATCGTTTTGGAGATTAAACGGGAAGTTCTAAATAATGTTGCCTATTCTAAACAAGAAAATTTTTTTTTTTATTTATGGTTTTTACTATAACATCTCTAATTAAATTTGGACGAAAATATTATTTCTGTTTTGCTGTAGGTAATTTTCTCAGGAAAATACGTAAATAAAAAGGATTTTTAGGTCAAAAAAAGTCAAAGGGACAAGTTATTCCAAAAAGGACTGTCCTTTTCAAAAAGGACAGG